CTAAAAACATGAACGAGAAAAAACATGTTTTATTTTATGTGTGCCGGTCATGACATTAGTGATTCATTGATTTTGGGTTTTTTGTTTCTACCAGATGAGTATATAAATCTTTGGATGTGATTTACTTTCCAAAGAATGCTAAGTAAACAAATAAATGTTAATCTCATGTTTAATTTATAGAGTAAAGCTGGTGTGCTATTGGTTTTGCTAATAAAAAACGCCTTCAGGATGAAATGTTTTTTTTTTTTTCTGTTTTAATTTTTCAGGGTTGGAAAAAGGAGAGAATCATGGCTGAATATCCTGATGGCAAGATCATCCTCGTCCTCCCTGATGATCCCAAATATGCCCTGAAAAAGGTAAGTAAATTCAGAGGTTAGAAATCTCTGTACTTCTCATATTTTGGACCTCAGTCTTAAATCATGTTTGCGGCTTGCTAATTTGCTGTTCATCTCAGGTGGAGGAGATCCGAGAGATGGTGGACAATGACCTCGGCTTCCAACAGGTGGAGACAAAGTATCCATCTAAGACTAAAACCTTCCTCTTTATCTCTATTGACAAGAAAGTGGCCGGATGCCTCATAGCAGAGCACATCCAAGAGGTAGCAGACTGCAGGCTCTTACATCTGTTTAGAGCTGTTATGTCTCTGAGCCTTTTTTAAGTCCTCTTCATATTTGCTCAAAGGGGTACAGAGTGATCGAGGAGGCTCCTCCTGAGGGCTCAGAGGGGGAGAAGGTGATGTTTGAACGTCAGAGAGCTTGGTGCTGCTCCACCACACCTGAGCCAGCCATCTGTGGCATCAGCCGCATCTGGGTGGTCGGAATGATGCGGAGGCGGGCCATCGCCACGCGTATGATCGAGTGCCTAAGGTCAGTTCCTGATTGGTGCCCTGAAGAACTATTAATATACCTTGAATATTTTCACAATTTGACACACAAGACAGGAAGTTTATATGATAGAGCAGTACTTTGAAGTGAGAGGTAAGGGATGCATGGTTTTAAAATATTGACAGATAAAAAATTTTTAATGGGTTTGGATTCCTTCAGTTTAAGACCTTTTTATTCTGTTAGAAGAAATAAGATCCAGAGCATCCAGTTATCATCAGACGTCATCTAAAGAATCAAATGTTTGTGAATTAATCTTAATATAAAGCCTCAATCTCTTAGAGAACATTCATGAACTAACAGCATAATAGACACCAATGAATGCAGCAGACCGGTCACAAATATGAGGAGAACACCAGGATGCTGCTATATGGTGGTGGCAGCATCATGCTGTGTGGATCCCATATCCCTGTGTGATAATGGCCTAGTTAAAGTCAACTGATCATCTCTGACAAGACATTCTCTCCTCACCCTGGTTGCAATTGAGATATGTAGCAAATAGACAAATATTTAAATATTCATAGCAAAACTTTATTCTAAAACTTGTTAAAAGTTAATTGTATTAGGGTCTATAAGAATCTACACGGCCTCACTTCCAGTTATTCTATTTTCATTTTTTACCTTGAATTGATTTATGTGAAAAGAGTACATCATGCAAAGCAAAATAACTTGCAGTCACTTATGGTTGCTTTTTTGTTTTTTTCACAGGAATAACTTCATTTACGGTTCCTACCTGAGTAAAGACGAGATTGCGTTCTCAGACCCGACTCCGGATGGAAAACTCTTTGCCACCCATTACTTCGGCACATCTCAGTTTTTAGTTTATAACTTTGTAAGCGGGACCCGCTCAATCCAGCCCAAAACTGGCTCAGTATGACAGCCCCCTGGTAGAGGCGGCCATGGATCTGACATGGAAATCTTCACAGTGAATAAAGAGACTTAAATTACTCCTCTAAGAGCTCGATCATTGGACTAAAACTCAGGGTGACAACTTAAACTCTTCCCTGCATAGTATTTTGGAAAATATATTTTCTTTATACTGTTTTTGAACAAGCAGTTGGTTTTATTAAAATAAAATAAAATGCATGATGTGAGAGAGCAATAGAGTTTAAAGATCATATCAGTTTTTTATGTTCAGCAATCTGAAACCTCTTTAAAAGCTGTGAGGATAGGTGTTAGGATCTCCTCCTGGACAGGGAAGCCGCGGTTGTCTTTGGATGGATTAAGATTTGATTCTTTGAGCTGTAGTTTGGATTCTTCATGTATTCCTGTAAGGTTTTATTTTTCAAACCGAGCCATAATGTCTACTTTTTAGACTTGTTCTGTCTGAATGTTGTCTTCAAGTCTCACCAAGGTTTTTTATTTTATTTTAAATGTGCTCTTTTGATGCTTACTTGATTGTTTGTTTCGCTTTATTCACCTCTCAGCCACACGCCGCCCCCACCATCCGGCAAATGGCTTTTTATTCAGTTAGTGTAGAGAATCTTCCTTTTATTCCTTATTAACAAATTAAAACTTCTATTGAATAATCATGTAGATTTATGCATACTATAACAAGATTTATAATGGAAAATAAGAACGATCTTAAATGTGTATTTTTTTGTGTTTTTTAAGTTTGCATAAAGGTCCACGCTACATAAGGGTTTAGATCACACTCCGATTAACCTCATCATCCCTTATTTTCTCCCTCCTTGTTAAAGCAGTCGCCTTTTAGTGGCATTTTGTGTAAGAAAATAAATTGATTTATATGAATCTCTTATGTAAATATTTATTTAAATAAACTGTAAAATATTTTTCTTTGTGGGAAGTTTCTTCATTTCGAAGTGGTGCCTCCCACTCTGCACAGTAGCTTTATGTTAAAAAAGAGAAATTTCCAGTTCTGAATAAATGCTCTTATTAATTCTTAAACATTGGCTTAAAAACTATTCATATTCCACTCTCCCTATAGACTCTAAGTGCTATTACTTTATTCATCTGCTGTTGAACATTATTATATTATATTTTAAGTATCAATATGTGGGAACCACATGGTCATGTTATTCAGGTAATATTTAGGCAGCCAAGCCTATTTAAAATCAGATTGAAAACAATTTATTCCTAATCCTGAGAAATTAAATCTCATGAGTTCTTGAAATTTGAATTGCTACCCAGTCTAATGCAAAGCTGGTGTATAGTCATTTTGAAATGTAATCAGTTTTATTTTAGAATGTAATTTAGAAGAGTAAACTAATGTTAAATTGAGATTATATGTCTAAATAGTTTTGTTGGGAATATGGTTTATTTTTTAAATGTTTTATTTTTAGTTGACTGCATTTGTGAAACTGGGATGTAAGAAAAAATGAGTTGAAAATAATTTGATAATATTCTATTAAAATTAATGCATGAAAACATAAAAACACAATGAGCTATTTTTAAGAAGTATTGTAAATTTTCTGTAGTTTTAAACAAACATTATCAGAACCCACTGTTGATCTGAAGATGAGCCTGCAGGCCTAGGGCTGCAGGTTACAGCCCTCTTTATTAGACTAGTAGAGTAGACCAGTGTCAAGGTTTGTGAGAAAATAAAATCATCATAGCAATAAAGCTCTTCAGTAGAGGTGGTGGCTATATAAAATACTTAAAGCCCATGTTCAGGAAGCATCTCTGATTTGAAGCGTTACCCCAGCTGAGACTCGTGTCTCTTAAATCCTACCAATTTTTTTGGTATATGGTTTCTTTTATAATTCTTCCCAAATTATTGTTTGCTTCATGATTTACACACCTTTTTCTGTCAGTTTTTCTTTCCACTTAACCATCCAGTTATAATGGTTTTACAGATAATGAAATCCTAAAAATTATTTCAAACCATAAAAGATCATTCTACTTTCTTGTGCACCTTTGACTTCTTGTTTTTATTTCTTCCCTTCGTTCTCCATGCTTGCAGTCAGCAGTCAGAGGGATGACATTTTGCCACCCTCCTTATGGAGGCAGTCAATGATTACTGTCTTTAGTTAAAGTCATTCCAGCCCTCTCTCCTGCCGTGTGAATAATCCTGTATTTTTTAGGTATATACTAACATGGTAATTTTCTGAGAAAGTGGGTTTCAAATTTCTCTAATCGATTATCATCAAAATAATAATATATCACACCATGTAACCAATCTATATAGATTTATTTTATTTTAGTTTCAATTTAAGTTAAAATATGAACATAAATTATTTCCACAATTATTCTTATATATTGGGATATCTTGGAATCTGTTTTAAATTGTGGGAATTTTCTTGCTTGAAGATGTAAACACTCCGCTCTTTGCACATTCCTCGACGCTCCTGTCACAACACAGGACTGCATGATGGCAACATCAGAGAAACAAAACAGTCTTAGAACAACACAAATGCTTCCTCAACCAGGGAGGGACAAAAACCGAGGCTCTGCTGACGACTCCTCTGGGCGCTGATACACATCAGGAAGAGAAAAACATGTTTGGGTTTCTCACTCAACAACCACAAATTGATTTTTTGGGGGCTTTGTTTTTGCTTTGCTCATCAAGAGCATCTTTGTTGATTAAAATAGTACAGATCTATTGGTCAGTTTAGGTTGCTTAAAAAAAAGACACATAGTTACTTGTAAACACAGTTTTTATTCTCACACATTAGCTCAAAAAGACAAAAGAACATTACAGCTGCCAGATTGTAAACCATAGACCACTTGGTCCTAAACATTTTGGTCACGCTATCGAAAACACAACAACCACAGTACAGATCATTTCTACAGTCTGGTGTAATTATTAAAAAAATAAACTGCTCCAAGTTAAACCTTAGCTGCAGCAACTATTCTGACCAGCTCCTGCAGCGCTGCTTAGCTCACCCTGATTTTCTGACATCTGCAGGGACTTGATCTGTTTAAAGTTTTAAATTGGGATTACAGTAATGCTCAGGCTGTTTGTTTTGTTTACAGGCAACCTAGAAGGGAAAAGACCTGCTCTGGTGCATGGCTGGATTACACAGGAAATTCTTGATGTTTATGATAAACCAAGCAGCAACTGACAAACTCTTAAAAGCTGTACCTTTTGTGTTTTTAGTCAGCAAATGAAAAATCAAATGAAAAAAACTAAATCAGATTTTAAGGAGATGCCTGGAAAACTCTGGATAGAGACAACTTGAATAAAATTGGGGCACAGTGGATGAAAAAAGAGGAAAAAATCAACTGAGAAAGACAAAAACCAAATTACTGACTGTACTTAAAAATGTAAAGGTTTTGTAGCCATTACACAACGTTTTATATGAAAGTTAGCTGAAGTGAGTTGACATTCAAGGCCATGAAAACATGATAATGTAGGCACAGAAGACAATATATTCATCTCTAACCCTGTGTACAATTTATTTTTAGCTGAATGTGGGAGTTTGTTGCTCTCACAGTATGGGACAATGCTCACCACAAAAATGATACAGTAAGTCCAAAACATCAGGTTCTTGAATCCGTCTGTTAATAACGCCCTGACCTTTCCCAGGCTGTACCACCACCACCTCACCATCGGGTGGCAGCTCAACCAGCGGGTGCACTTTATTGTCCTTCATCTTAAAATCTATAACACCTATTCCTGGCAGGGCTCCGTTTCTCTCTGTCCATGTTTTGCTGTCCTCTGAAGCATCCTTTGTCTCCTCAACACTGTCCTCGTTCTTGCTGTCCTTGCTTATTACGCTCATTTCATCCTGACATGCCTCTGATTCACTGGCATGAGGCAGGGAGAAATAGGTGCACTTTCCAGGTTGGGATTTGGTCTCGGTTTGTAACTCTGGTTTTGAACTGAACAATAAATACGGAGTCTTCTCCTCTTTATCCTTACAAAATCCATCATCGTAAAATGTGTTTGTCAAGGTTTTGTTAATTCCAACTGGGTCTGACACTGACTTTCTCATTTGTGTGTTCTCTCTAAGAAGCCACCGGCCATTGTCAATAGGAACACTGTCTCCAGGCCCCACTTGTGCGTTGAACGTAATGCATCTCGTTGCTTCACTGAAGATGTCTAGAGCATTAGAGGAATTAAAATAGGAGAACTCTGACATTGCCTTAGATCTAGCTGCGTGAAATGGAGAGAGGATGCTTGAAGGTTCCCTCTTTCTTTGATCCGGCTCTGAAGGGGATCTCTCGCTCACTTCCTCTGGTTCGGGGTCTTTCTTGCCATAAAGCATTTCGATTGCCCTCCTTACAAAGCCTTTAGAGATGGATTTTCGTGGCGAGTCGTCTTCGTTACCAGATAGGTCAGTAGAAGTCTGGGACTGATAGCCACCACTGCCTGATGTCTCTGCTCTCAGCTCAGATGAGCTTGGGCCCAGGAAGCCTCTCTGTTGAATGTCTGTGGCGCTCCTTGCTAAAAACATTTCCCTGATGGATCTGACTCTGCTTCCCTCGGGCTCTGTGGTTATAACACCACTGGAGTCGTAGCTAAAAGATAACGATGACTGAGGAGCCGATCGAGTACAGATAAGCATCTCGGAAGCAGGTGACTCAGAAGGGGAATCCTCGGATTCAGGAGGAGACTTTCTTTGAGAGGAAAGCCTGATTGTGGAACTTTTTGCTGCAGGTTTTGGTTTCTGGGCTTCAGCCACCTGCTTTTCCAGAAGAGTCACCCGCTCTGCAACGGACTTGGATAAGACCTCATCAGATTGATGTTTAAGACTTTCAACAATCCCCTTGGTGTTTAACTCTTCTAGCTGTACTCTCAGGGGAGTTTCCTGGAGTTCGGCAGTTCTTTGCTTTAATCTTCTCTCTCTACTTGTTTCTTCCTCCTCAGAGCTAAAGTCATTTTCATAGTAACTCAACTCTTCTTCAGTTAAGTTACTCTTTTGTTTATCTTCATCCTTTAGCTGCACTTCATACATATGTTCCTCAAAACTGCTGTGGTCGTTGCCACTGTCATCATCAACATTGGATCTAAATCCATATCCTAAACTTTTATTTGTTATCAAGCTACATAAATCTGGATTTTCTAACGCACCAACTGAGCCTCTGTTAGGAGAACCTTGCTGTTTTAGCTCATCAGGAGCATACTGGATCTCATCCTCTGAGCTAAACTGCTCGTTCTCAGACTCCTCGATCAAAGCCTCCAGATCTCTACCTGCTTTTGTTTCCTCTGCAAACTTAGGAAGATAATCAAGGGGTTCCTCTTCCTCTTTCTCATTGCCAGACAAGCTTTCCTCAATAATAACATGCAGTTTTTTATAATTAACTTCTTGCTGTTCCTCCAGTGAAGATGGATCATCTACATTTAAGCTTCCTGTACTGCCATTAGTGCTTATGTTTAGCCCCATACTGGCTCTTTGGCTTTGTGACACTTTACTTTTGATTTCTATCGGATCATACAGATTTTTGCAGTCTGAGTTGAATGCTGTTTTCTTCCCTTTTACTTTTACTTCTGCGTAATAGTTAGAACTTGCACTGATCCCTTGTTTTGTCCCATGATCTGTTACTTCCGCTCTCTCTTCTGTATATTGTTTAAAACAGTCTTTATTGGCACTTCTAATCATCTGGTGTCCTTCAGCCAGATCTGATCTAGCTTCCTTGATTATTTCAGTGTAGAGCGTGTTTTTCTCATTTTGTGTTAACTGGTTAGCATCCATATACGTCTCTTGTTTTGCGGGTTCTATCCTGCTGTACAGGTCTACACTTTCTGCACCTTTTTGTGGTAATTTCTCAAACAAACATGCCCTCTGGTGCTGTTTTTGCTTTTCCGGATTATCTTGTGCCTCATCTGTACATGACTGCAAGTCTAGAGACATTATGTTGAAAGTCTTCTTTTCTTCTGGATTATATTCTGAATCAGCGACAGAATTCGACCAATTCTGGCAGCACCTGTCTTCTATTACTTGCCTTGTTGTTTTGTATTTTCCTGCCTCAGAAAACAGAGGAGTACTGTCCAATTCTGTTTGTGCTGGCTTTTTAATGTCAGGTATTTGTTTCACAATAGACCTGACATCACTATTATCTTTTTCATCATGAGTAACAGTGTCTTCGCCAGTGTTTTCATGAATTAGTTGGTCTGCCAACAGCTTCAGTCTGCTAGAATGTCTGTTTCCTCGTCTGTCACTCTCACCGTCTGAAAGCGAAACCAGTTCATCCTTTAGCCTTTTGGGAATGTCTAAATTATCTATTATCTGGTCAATAACATTTTCTCCAATGCCACAATCAAATTCAGGGGCAGCCTCTGAAGAAATAAGGTTTGTGCTTTTGTCCTGGAAACCCTTCCAGCTTTGGAGGAGCTGCATTGAAGCAGACTTTTGTAAATTGGACAAACTGATTCTCAATCTTTGAGAGTCTTCTATGTTGGCAATTTCTCGGAGGGAATCAATCATTTTTAAAGCTTCAGCACAGCTGACGTTGTATGCATTCAGTTCTTTCATATTCAGGTTTGCCAAGCCATCTTTTAGGGTCATAACTGCAAGGAAAGCAAGAAGAACCTTGGATGAAGAGCCAAACGTTGAGGCCACATGAGAGGAAAAGTCGGGTAAGCTGTTGGACTTTTCCAAACAGGATGGACGCTTACTCTGAGTAATTTGTCGTATTGATTTTATTGAGTAGCAGATCTTCTCAAGGACTGGCTTCATGTTAGGCTGATCCACTGAATGTATTGGCTCTGGCATCACAGATATAACTTGATCTCCTGCCACAGCCTCAGTGTCACCACTGATATCAGCTTTCAGCAGGGCTGGTTGGTGGCCTTCTCTTTGGGATGATTTCTTAAGTTTTCCATTCTTTGATTGTAACGGGTTGTCCAAAGAGACATTTCTTGGAAGAAGCTTTTTGCTGGACTTGTGCCTACTAGGTGGTGACACCACATCTAGAGAGTGAGAATATGGGGAAGGTCTCTGAAGTTCATGGTGTTTTCTCTCCGCTGACGGACTTACTTTGGGTTTTTCAGGTTTTTGTAGTCCTTTTTGTGAAAGATTGTCTTTGTCCACAATGTGTCTAGTCCCTGCTGAATTTTTTGTTGACGTATTTTGGAGTTCAGAGGAATTTTTGCTCTGCATCTTCCTCTCTGGAGATGGACTGCTTTTCAATTTGGCTTTTTTTGCCAAACTCTTAGGTGATTTTTCTTCGATTTTGGGCATATCAGATATTTTTGTTTCTTCAAACTCAATACTTCCCAAAACTGAGGTTTCACTTGATATAATACTGGAAGACGACATTCTTTCATCAGAGGTTAAACTAAGTGGAGACACAGAAGTACAAAACGATGGAGTACCCCGCTCTAAGGTGGGTTGAGGGATCTCTTCAGATGTGGCTGTAACCTTTTTTGCTGTCACTGTTGAGCAGATTTCCTTCCTTGCATTGCTGATGGTGGGAACTGACAATACTGTTTCCTCTTCAGTAGCATAGTTATCCAAAGCTGGTTCATTCAGAGGTTCCTTTTTGGGTGACATTTTTGTTTCTGGAGAGTGATTACTGACCAAATGAGTCTCTTTAATGGATGGAGCTCTGGCTATTTCTACCCCCTTTTTAGCCGGGGTATTCTTGGTTAAAGCAGATTTTATTTTTTCAGTTGTGTTATAATTGTAAGATAAGGCCTTGTCAGATGTAGGAGTCCTACTTTGGGGACAATTATCTAGTCCCTGGCTGCTGATAAGGCTACCACTTAGACATTTAGATTCATTTGTGAAATCTTCAGTATCAAGTAGTTCGGGCGGTGGTGGTGGTAAATCAATAGACATTGTAATATTTCCCTCTTCAGTTGATTCAGTTGTTGGTGGGATCATTTTTGAGTAGATCACATTTAGGGGTGGCTTAGCTTGTGTAGCATCCTGGCCATTTTGTGATGTGACTGCAGGCATTGATTTGTTTTCAAAAGACTGTACTCTCAGCTTAACTGATGGGGAGATCACATTTTCCAGGGTAGAAAGTTCAGAACTTTTGCTGGTTTTTGAGGTCTCCTCTAAAGTTCTTCCTACTTTTGCAGGAATAAATCTGTCCATTATTTTGCTTTCTTTTTTTTGGTTTGATATTGGGTTTGAATGTCCCTTCTCGGGCCCATGCTCCACATACTCTTTATCAAAGTTAGGAGGATTATTAATTGGTTGCAATGGCCTGTCTTTAATAACATGCAAGGACTCGTTTTTACTCTGCCATATCTGTACTATTTGTGGAGAGCTTGTTTCTGTTAAGATTTGCTTGCTGGTCTCTTCTTTTAAAGATAATTGAACATTAACATTATTAGCGAATCGCTTTGGTAAGCTTTTCCAAGTTTGTTTTACTTTCCTTTTGATCTTTTTTGGGGGCTTAGTTTTGTTTCCATAAATTCTCTTAATGAACACTGCACTGGAGAATGGTTTTAATTTTTTACGTTTCTCAGTAGCCTTTCCTGAACTCTTCCTTTGTCCTTTACCTGGTGTCATATCCCGTTGGACATTTTTTCTAGTCAATTTTGGCTTTGAGGAAACCCTCAGATCTTTCTTTGATTCATTGTCTCCTGGCTTGACTTGGCTTTTTTTAGATTTTGGTAGCTGTTCTCTTTTTGGTCCTTGAATTGCACCAATGTTTAGGGAGGCCAATTGTAAACCTAGTGTTACAGACATGCTATCAGCTCTCCATCCACTATCTGGCTCAAAAGCCGGCGAAGGCCAAAGTTCAGCTTCAAATTCATTAGAAGAACAATTTTGCCTGTTTTGTGAAGTAACTCCAGAAGCAGACATACTGTGAACACCAACATTTGCAAGAAAATTATCCTGATATGTGTGTTGTTCATATATGTGCAAGACTGTTTCAGTAACCTCATCTCCGCTGGATTCAGTCTGCATAATTTCAGTGGATTTTAATGCAGAACTGTCCCTGCTGATAACATCCACAGAACCAAGTCGTCTTGGTTTAGGAACTGGTTTTGTGCTGGTCTGATTCTCCATGTAGAACTGCTCTTTTGTTGTCACGTTCTCTGTCTGTTCTTCGAGGAAACAAGAACCCACCTTTCCTTCTCCAAAATCATCCTCATCTACAGATTTAATGCTATCCACAGAAGCTTGGCTTTCTCTTATTCTCTTGCATCCTGGGGTAGGTTCTCTCCTTGGGAGCAACACTTCTGTGTGGTTTTTAAGATCATCCTCATCCTGAAAATTATCACTAGAAGCTCTGTTTCCAAGAGATGGTGGATCATCGTCATTGTCATCACTGGTTCTGTCTTTATGGATAATGTCATTGGAAGCTGCAGAAGTTTGTGAATTTCTTGAGCAAACCTCCTGCTCTGGGTCAGAATGTGGCAAAGACGACATGTTAAGCTGATCAGCTACAACTGACCGTGTCAAGGTGGTTGTCCACTGAACAGATTCCTCCTCTTTAATTGTCAGCCGCACTTTCATCTCCACTGTCATACTGCCGTCCTCATTTACCCGAAAGGACTTCTCAATGTTGTCGTCATTCGGAAGATCGCCGTCCTGTCCCTCATTACCGCCATTGCCGAGACAGATGTCCTCGTCCGTTTCTGCCAAGGACTCCAGTATTCGATCTGAGTCTGACTCGATGGAATTAGCGGCGTTACTGGGCAGGTCACAGGAGCTCTCGCCCATGCTGGCATGAATCTGTTGGACGATGTACCTCTCTGATGATGCAGAGAAATTTCTTGACTTTGAAGAAAATGAAGGTGTCATTTTCTTTGCTTCTCAGAGAGTCCAAAAGGGTTGTGTGAAAAGTTGGAGAGTAAAAAACAAGAAATTCAAGAGTTTTCCAGAAAAGCATGAAGGGAGAAAAGAAAAGGAAGAGAAAGTTAGACTGACTGAACGGCTGCTCCTCTAGAACATTAGCCAGCAGCGAAGCATGTAGGTCATCTACAGCATTATGTTCAATATTATCACCTCAGCACTTTCTCAAGCTTAAACCCTTGACTGACAGCAGATTACTGCATACACTTAATATGTATCAAGCTAATACAAGGCTAATGAACACACTTTTAAGAAATTGTTCACCTAAATAAACCAACCAATTTATTTTTTTACTTACAGACTGAAGTCTTTTGTTTTTTTGAAACCCTTCGCTTGGTGTGTTGCCTTGTTGAACTTGGATATTTCTCCATGCTGTATACGACATGCCTGAAAGGTTCCCTGCCCACGGCAACCACACTTCCAGAGCACAGAATCAAACCTGGAAGACCATCAATCTGAAGCAGACAGGAAATAAATTGCTTTTAATTAGTGTAGCTCAAACTATTCCTTAAACTAAAAATATATCTAAACATTTTACTATTTATTTTTACCTACTACTTTACAAAGAATCCTAACTTTAAGTATGGAATTATGTATGTTAAATAACAAGCAAGGCTTGAACTTGCATTAGACCCAATGTTAAACTATTTGCCTATATTTACACTTCCTTGAGCTTTTTCACATTTTGTCATGTTACAGAGTTAAAATTCAATTCTTTTTATTGGGACTTCAATTGATAAGCCACGGCAACTGACTGTGACGTAGTAAGCGTGACAGAAAGTTGGTGGGGGAATGTAAACAAACAGCCTGTTGGTAAATCAGTGTATACGTCCTTCTTCTATAATATCAACAAGCGTAGAGCCTCTTCCTGCTCACATTTAAACGAAAATCCCAAATCTAAGTCTAAGTCTTTTTGCCATCTTTCTTGTTGTGCTTTGTCCAGCGTTGCACAGCTTTGTCGGCCCAGCCCTCAAAACCCTTGGCCACTTTGCTATTGAAAATTCAAAACACATCTCTGCCTTGTGATTGGCCCACCAGTTCTAGGGCCTGGGGCATTGATCAAGGCTAGACCCACTTGCAAGAAAAAAGGATTTTGGCCACTGGCGGGTGGGGCTAGTTTTCTAGGATATCAAATGTTAGCGCTTGCTAACCTTGTCTTGCTATATTTCAGCCTGAAATACTTAATCTATTTCAGATGATTAATTTAACCTTGGTCTGTTGAGTATTCAAAACCTGATATTGATTAAGTAATTATTTGACGTTTAAGGGTAGTTCATTGGAAATCGCAATAAAGTACATAGAATATTGTGTTTTGAATTTCACAAAAACTCTAAAGGTTTAAAGGTATGAATAATTTTGCAAGGTACTGGAGGTATTATAAGGGTTTGCAAGAAAGTTTTTCACTCCCTTTTCTCATGTGACCCTCATGCCAGGGGTAGGTCTTTGTCAGTACTTTTAGGGTTGATAATGTTTGATTTCCAGCAGAATAACTTTGTGTTTGATCTTGATGGGAAACACTTACCCTTCGGCCATCCAGAGTATGTAGTTTGTTGACGTGGAACTGCATGAGTTCTGAGATGTGTCTCAGGATAGACTCATAACTCGGCGTAGTCTTCCTCTGTAGCAAAACAGTATGCCTTACAGAGGGGTCTCCGTTGCGAAACACAACCAGCTTTTTGGGTGTATGAACAATCCCTTGCTCTTCTCTGTGGAGCTTTTTCCGGCCTGGAAAAAACCTGGCTGTCTTGCGATTAGGACTAACAGGTCTTGCATGGTACCACGGTGGCAGCCTCTTCCGGGCCAAGGCCAGATCGATTGGCTTGACTTTCCTGCTGTCAGAACAGATGTAGGATTTCCCATCCTCAAAATCATCTAGCGCTTTGATGCCATGAATCCCCCGAGGAGTCGTTATGTTACGCACCCCAAAAGGCAGGGGGACTTTTTTGGAAAGACTGTCCAGAAGCGCATCAAATGTTTTAAAGGTGCGGTTGTTTATGACCACTCGAAGGCCATTGAATTGTGGATCCCCACTTTTGTAGAAGCAGACCCGCTTTGACAGAATAGTACTGGTGACACTCGTGTGATGGGAAGTTTCGAAGGTATGTCCGCTACCTGATGACTGGTCAGGGAGGGTTCTCCGAAGTCCTGTTTCATTCATCTTCTCCAACTGACTGCAAATGAAGGTGTAGGAAAAGCAAAAATAATTAGACATTTAGCAAAAAACAAGCTTTTCATCTGTTGCATCTTATGCTTCTGCTTTACAAGAGTATCTATTTATTCTTGCTTTCCTTATGGTGTCTTTTGATTTGGAAATGCAGGGAGTGAGTGATTTAGAAATCTTGTTATACTTTGTGCTGCCCTTTATGTAGAATGACAATAAACAATCTTAAATCTTGAACCATTGTAAAAGATTCCTACTTTCTGACCTACAGTAGTAGCAATTCAAAATTTTCCCACTTTCCTTGATGGACCCTTGGCTGCTCCTTAGCTGGTCCTCAACAATTCCTTTTTAAACATCAATCTTTGTACTAAATTATTCTTTCTGTCATGATTTGTGGACTTTAAGATCTAAAGAGAAGCTTGATCTCCTGGTCAGACCCTGTAATTCAGTGAAAGGGTGATTCAGAGTAAAAAAATGCATGCCCGGGAGAAGGCCAGTGGCTGGATTTGGCTAGGAGAAGCAGGGGAGTAGGATGCCATTCGGCTGGTGTTTGACAGGGAAGGGCGGTTTTGAATGGCTGCTACTGTGTAACAATAAAACTGGAGACATAGCTGTTGTACACTGACATTAAGCACACTTAATTAGTACTATATTGAATTGAATTAACTTTCTTTTCTACATATTGGACCTCCTTTTTCCTTAATCATTTGTGGCATAGATCCAACATTAAGAAGAAACACGTCTGCTTTTGCTGCAGATTGTTGACTGGATCTGCTTTTATATCGTGAGACTGTTTCAGCATTTGATATAAGTAAACTCATGATGTTTAGCAAACTATTTTGGAGAGGATTTTTGCCTTAGGACATGTTGCATTAAATATTGAAAGTAACCATTATGCTACATGCACACTGTGATCATACAGGAGCAGATATGGTCAATAACAGCATTCAGGTAGGCTGAGGTGTTAAAATGAAGCTCAGTTGGAACCAAGGGGCTCAAAATGAGAAAATATCCCCCATATCAGTTGAAATGGTAGCCTTGAAACTTTTATGTAAGGCAGATGGATACCTGCTTAAAAACGGTTTACAATAGATTGTTATCCTACTGTATACCATTTAAATCGTGCAGGTGATATCAAGAATCACTTTTTCAAGCATTCTTTTTCCCAGGTTCTTATTGTCTAGTTTTGTTGATCCTCAGTGGATTGGTTCTCTGTTCTTAAATGAGTGGATTTCTACTTGAAGTTGTCTTCTCACTATTAGAGCAACGGTTGCCTTTATATAGTTTCAGAACAGACGTGCCTCACTCCCCTGTGAACCGGGATGTCAGCAAACAACTTTACCCATGTTGCTGTTGTTCACTGGATACTTTCTCTTTTTCAGACCTTTCTCTGTAGACCTGTGAGATGTTTGAACATGAAAATACGAGTAGTCTGACAAAAACAACCATGATTTGTTTGATCTGTTGTTTTCCTTAATATTTTTAGATGTCTAAATTGATTGAGTTGCTAAATGTGTTAACCAGTAATAGGGCAAGTATTTAAATTAAGCAAGAGAAAGCCTAAAACCTCAGCAGAAAAAAAGTTCTGAATCTGATTTCTGATAAGACAAGATATAAATATTTTTTTCTTTCAAAGAGGGAGATTTCTAATACCTTTATCTGTCCTGATGTCTTTGGCTTAGTTAAAAACACGAAACTCAATTCAAAAGACTAAAAATATTTTGTCTATGCCGAACAATAATTGCTTCTAGTTTAGTTTTCATCCTTTTTTTTTTCTGGTTAGTTTTAATGATATCAACATTTAAACAACAGAAACCGTCCTCCACATTTATAGACATCAGCGGTACAATAAACATAATTTCTCGTTCAGTCTTGTTTTACACAGTCCAGGTTGGTTTTAGCATTTTAACCATTTCAATGACTATAAGTATAAATTTAAGCAAATACCAACATCCTATGGTCCAGTTCCTGAATTATAACTTATTAGCACCAATATGTCTGTTAATTTTCTTTCCCATTTATAAGAGAGAGTGTCGTGTCAGGGAGTTATAGAGCACAAATTTGAATTTTTATAGACAATCAATCTGAAAAATGTAATGTATAAATATCTCAGTAACATTTATTTTATTTGAAGTGTTAATTGTGGAAGCTGTTTCTTTGGTTAAATTCTTTAGTTACTTATTTCACTGAATTTAAGTCACATTTTAACACGTGAGATTTTGCTATTTCTAGGGTTCTGTAAATATTCTTGCCAAGGCTATAATCTATAAATGTGCATGATGCTATAAGACTTTTTAAAGGCAACCTAAACAGTTCTTGTAAACACCTAATTGACCTGCTGCCAAGCATATGTTGTTTACTTAGTCAGGTTGTAGTCACCAGGTGAAAGACCGGCCCTCTGCTAAACTGGAGAGAAAAAAAAATGTATTGATGCACAAATATAAAGGTTTTAGTGCCCTTTTCATTGACTTTATTAATTTAATTATTTAATTTTATATTAGTATTTTTTTTTCTTGAAACATCTCTTTTTCATACAAGACTGAATAATAAATTTATAGTAATTATCTATTTCTTCAAACTTTAAGTATTTTCAACTGCTTTTAGTGAAACAAGCTTATCTAACATCTCTCACAATCAAAGTATAAATCAGTCAAACAAAGTTGAACTTGCAAACAAATAGAAACAAGTAACTCACCTTTATTGGCATGATTAAAGCTCCGGTTGTTCTAAGGAAGATCTATAGATTTCCATAGCGTGCTCCATGGCATGACTGCTGCTGAGCTAACTGCACAGTAAGAGTTTATTCCAGGAGACAACATCATTGGCAATTTGCTTAATCTTTGCTCAGAGTTAATCTTCACTGCTGGTGCAAAGCTTGTAAATCCTCTTTGGAAGGGTGCGCCACACCTTATGGAGCTATCAATGCATGTCACAAAACTGGTCCAAAGACCTCTGAATTATATTGATATGTTTTACATTAATATCAAACTGCAATGTTTTTATAAGAATCATTTGTCGGGAGAGTTTTAATGTTTGCAAGGGAAATCTGTCACCAAATGTTGAAAAATTTTGAACATATTTGTGAAGTTGTTTTTTTTATGTTGTTTTTGTCTATTAAATGTTTTAATAGCCCTGTTGTGCAAGTTTTAAATTAGAGCATAAAATGTGAGCAAGGTTTTCTGAATGCCAGATGGTAAGTTAGTGTCCGCTTGTAAAATACGAGCAGGTTTCTAATCGCATTAGGGACCTCTTTCCATAATTAGGATTAAGATGCTTTCGATTCTAAGGACCCTTAGAGAGGAGAGCTTCCTTTATTATGAAAGTTACAAATCATATGATTAGGTTTTTAAAATTGGTAGTTTTTTTTTTAATACATTGTTTGATTTTAGAGCTGGACAATAG